TTTTTTTCCGATTTTTTTCGATTTTTTTCGATTTTTTTCTGATTTTTTTAAAATTTTCTGTGGGTTTTTTGACTCTGAGATGCTTCCAAAAATTTGGGAATTTTTGGGGATTTTTCCAGAATTTTTTGGGAATTTTTTGGGAATTTTTTGGGAATTTTTGGGGTTTTATAGCGATTTTTTTGCTTTTTTTTCGATTTTTTTCTGATTTTTTAAAAATTTTCTATGGGTTTTTTGACTCTGAGATGCTTCCAAAAATTTGGGAATTTTTGGGGATTTTTCCGGAATTTTTTGAGAATTTTTTGGGGTTTTATAGCGATTTTTTTGCTTTTTTTTCGATTTTTTTCAAATTTTTTCTGATTTTTTTTTGATTTTCTGGGAGTTTTTTGACTCTCAGATGGTTCGAAAAATTGGGGAATTTTTGGGGATTTTTCCAGAATTTTTTAGGAATTTTTTGGGAATTTTTTGGGGCTTCTATAGCGATTTTTTGCAAATTTTTTCGAATTTTTTTTTATTTTTTCTGATTTTTTTTTTAAATTTTCCACGAGTATTTCGACTCTGAGATGCTTCCAAAAATTTGGGAATTTTTGGGGATTTTTCCGGAATTTTTTGGGGATTTTTCCGGAATTTTTTGGGAATTTTTGGGGGTTTTATAGCGATTTTTTTGCTATTTTTAAATTTTTTTCTGATTTTTTTAAAATTTTCTGTGGGTTTTTTGACTCTGAGATGCTTCCAAAAATTTGGGAATTTTTGGGATTTTTCCGGAATTTTTTAGGAATTTTTTGGGAATTTTTTGGGGGTTTTATAGCGATTTTTTTGCTTTTTTTTTCGATTTTTTTCGAATTTTTTCTAATTTTTTTTTGATTTTCTGGGAGTTTTTTGACTCTCAGATGTTTAAAAAAATTTGGGAATTTTTTGGGATTTTTCCAGAATTTTTTGGGAATTTTTTGGGGTTTTATAGCGATTTTTTTGCTTTTTTTTTTAATTTTTTCTGATTTATTTAAAATTTTCCGGGAGTTTTTTGACTCTGAGATGCTTCCAGAAATTTGGGAATTTTTTGGGATTTTTCCAGAATTTTTGGGGAATTTTTTGGGAATTTTTGGGGGTTTTATAGCGATTTTTTTGCTTTTTTTTCGATTTTTTTCTGATTTATTTAAAATTTTCCGGGAGTTTTTCGACTCTGAGATGCTTCCAAAAATTTGGGAATTTTTTGGGATTTTTCCAAAATTTTTGGGGAATTTTTGGGGAATTTTTGGGGGTTTTATAGCGATTTTTTTGCTTTTTTGTTCAATTTTTTTCGAATTTTTTCGGTTTTTTTTTTTTTTTTTTTTTTGTCAGATGCTTCCAAAAATTTGGGAATTTTTTGGGATTTTTTCCAGGAATTTTTGGGAATTTTTTGGGATTTTTCCGGAATTTTTTGGGGAATTTTTTGCAGATTTTTCGTTATTTTTTCGGGATTTTCGGGGGGATGTGGTTATTTTCCCGGGATTTTCTTTGGGAATTCTGTTATTTTCTCGGGATTTTCGGGGGGATGTGGTTATTTTCCCGGGATATTTTTTGGGAATTCTGTTATTTTCCCGGGATTTTTGGGGGGACGTGGATGTTTTCCCGGGATTTTCTTTGGGAATTCTGTTATTTTTTCGGGATTTTCGGGGGGATGTGGATGTTTTTCCGGGGTGTTTTTTGGGAATGTCGTTGTTTTCCGGGTTTGTTTTTGTTTTTCTGGTATTTTCTCTGGGAGTTCTGTTATTTTCCCGGGATTTTCGGGGGGATGTGGTTGTTTTCCCGGGATTTTCTTTGGGAATTCTGTTATTTTCCCGGGATTTTCAGGGGGACGTGGTTGTTTTCCCGGGGTGTTTTTTGGGAATGTCGTTGTTTTCCCGGGTTTGTTTTTGTTATTTCGTTATTTTCTCTGGGAATTCTGTTATTTTCCCGGGATTTTGGGGGGGAATGTGGATGATTTCCCGGGGTGTTTTTTGGGACTGTGGTTGTTTTCCCGGGTTTGTTTTTGTTTTTCTGGTATTTTCTTTGGGAATTCTGTTATTTTTTCGGGATTTTTTGGGGGAATTTGGTTATTTTCCCGGGGTTTTCTTTGGGAATCTCATTATTTTTCCGGGTTTGTTTTTGTTTTTCTGGTATTTTCTTTGGGAATTCTGTTATTTTCCCAGGATTTTCTCTGGGAATTCTGTTATTTTCCCGGGATTTTCAGGGGGATGTGGATGTTTTTCCGGGGTGTTTTTTGGGAATGTGGTTGTTTTCCCGGGTTTGTTTTTGTTTTTCTGGTATTTTCTTTGGGAATTCTGTTATTTTCCCGGGATTTTCGGGGCGATGTGGATGTTTCCCGGGGTGTTTTTTGGGAATTCTGTTATTTTCCTGGGATTTTCGGGGGGACGTGGATGATTTCCTGGGGTGTTTTTTGGGACTGTCGTTGTTTTCCCGGGTTTGTTTTTGTTTTCCTGGTATTTTCTTTGGGAATTCTGTTATTTTCCCGGGATTTTCGGGGGGATGTGGTTGTTTTCCCGGGGTGTTTTTTGGGAATTCTGTTATTTTCCCGGGATTTTCTTTGGGAATTCTGTTATTTTCCCGGGATTTTCTCTGGGAATTCTGTTATTTTCCCGGGATTTTGGGGGCGATGTGGATGTTTTTCCGGGATATTTTTTGGGAATGTGGCTGTTTTCCCGGGATATTTTGTGGGACTGTGGATGTTTCCCGGGATATTTTTTGGGAATGTCGTTGTTTTCCCGGGAATCCTGTGGCTGGGGCTCAGGCTGTGTCCCGCAGGCGCTGCTGGCGCGGGGCGACTTCGCGGGCGGGCGCCGGGCGCTGCGCCGGGCCCTGGCGCGGGACGGAGCCCGCGGGCACGAGCGGAGACGGCTGCGGAGACGCCTGCGGCACGGTCAGCCACGGGAAAAACGGGAAAACGGGGGAAAAGGGGAAAAATGGGGAAAAAATGGGGAAAAACGGGGGAAATGGGGAAACAACGGGGGGAAATGGGGAAACAACGGGGCCTCGAGCGGAGACGCCTCCGGAGCCGCCTGCGGCACGGTCAGCCACGGGAAAAACGGGAAAACGGGGGAAAATGGGAAAAAACGGGAAATGGGGAAAAAAAACGGGAAAAATGGGGGAAAAATGGGGAAACAACGGGGAGAAATGGGGAAACAACGGGGGGAAATGGGGAAACAACGGGGGCACGAGCGGAGACGGCTGCGGCACGGTCAGCCACGGGAAAACGGGAAAAAAACGGGAAAAATGGGGGAAAAAATGGGGGAAATGGGGGAAAACAGGGGAAACAACGGGGGGAAATGGGGAAACAACGGGGGCACGAGCGGAGACGGCTGCGGAGCCGCCTGCGGCACGGTCAGCCACGGGAAAAACGGGGAGAAA